ACTAAGTAAAAACATTATATTTATCAATAATTTTTAGCTTATACATATCTTAATTACTTTTACATTCAATATTTATAGACAATCAATGTCCTGTTATTGATTTTTTCCCCAATTTTTAATTTCCCATCAAAATTCAAATTTAACATTTGATATTTATAATTTCCAGGCTTTAGGTAACCAAAGTTTCTCTTATCTCAATTCATAACAGAATCTAATATTCAAAATACACATCTATTTCTTCTTAGTTCTAAGTTGCCTCTCTCTTGATTAGTTTCCATCTGTTGAAAGAAAAATCTTCAGATCCAGTCCAAGCTGGGAATAAGAAAATGGAGACTGCTTTAGGAAAGAAGATCCAGTTTATTGAGTTTCCAGAAACTTCAGTGACACAGCATGTATTTCTGAGGTGGCTGACAAAATGGAGCTGGAGTGGTGGGTTTTTATACCTTCTTTGGGTTTTGTGTTTGGAGTTGTTCCTGTGGCATTGGATTGGAGGCTCTTCCTGTTCCTGTGCAATGAACTTTGACCTGGGGTTCACTATGCCCTTTTGGTATTCTATTGGTGGTAGGTTAACCCTATTATGTCCTAAAGGTCATGTCTAGATTTTGGGGGGAGGATGTAGATTTTTAGGAGTCTTTGTCTTTCTAATCCCATCAGCTGCAAGGTTCCTGGCCCCAGTCTTTTTGAATAGAATGATCAAATCTGCATTTCTACAGAGGTGGTTTCTGCTTGGGGCAGGAAGAGGGGGTTGGTTTCTGTCTAAGATTTTCTATTATTCCTTTGGGTAAATATAATATTCTGCCTTTTTTAAATATCCCCCAAATATTTCCTTTTCTGGGGGGGGGGGATGCTGACTTCCTACCCATCCATTCCTTCTTGTCCTGCCCTTACGTGCTTTGGAGAATAGCTTGACTCCATCTTCTTTGTGGCAACCCTAAGTTATTGGAACAATATTGTACCTGGAATGCAAAAATCCGGATGACCACTACATGGCAGTCAACATATCAAAGTTTTCATTAAACACAAATACTGTAAAGCTGTTGTCTGATTCCTACAAATTGAACTCTTGTTAAGAGTCCTACCTGTAAAAGTGGGCGCAGTCTTTGCATCCCTGCTGATTCACCTTAAAGGTATAGTCTATGGAGATTCTCAGTCATCCAGGTCATAGTTATCCCAAAGATCCTTTTTCATGAGGCAACTGGACTTTCTTGTTTTTCTTTGAAGACATTTTGTTTCTCATCCAAGAAACTTATTCAGCTCTGACTGGATGGTGGGGAATGGAAGGGTTTATACTCCTTGCAGACAGTTGGTCATTTGCATTCTTTTAGAAAGTCATTGATGCCACCTGGAGGCTTATCTGTGTCATCAGGGTCACCTGAGTAGTGCAAATGGGTGTGGAGCAGGAGTGTCAAACTGCTGGCCCGCAGGCTGGTTGCATCATGCATAGGCTGCGCCCACCCCGGCAATGCAAAAAAAGTCATGATACGTCATGACACATCAGGTGACCCGGCGAGTTTGACATCTGTGTTGTGGAGCCTTCTTGGAACTGTTGAAAGGGCTGTTGTAGACTGGAGATAGAAGATGTCATATCTATATCAGAGTGGGAGGGATACGACATCATCTATCTTCAGTCTACAACACAGTCCTTTCAACAATTCCAAGAAAGTTCCACACCTATTTCTAATACTCAGGTGATCCTGATGACAACAGATAAGCCTTCAGGATGCATCAACAACTCTCTAAAAGAATGCAAATGACCAGTTGTCTGCAAGGAGTATAAATCCTTCCATTCACCACCATCCAGTCAGAGCTAAAGAAGCTTCTTGGATGAGAAGCAAAATGTCTTCAAAGAAAAACAAAGTCCAGTTGCCTCATGAAAAAGCATCTTTGGGGCTCAAAGGCATAGCTAGCAAAAGTGGAACTATGAGGAGAGAAAAACTGAATGCTGCTTAGCCCAGAATGGACTTGTGCTGTACTTCCCCATAATTCTTAGATGCTTCTAGGGTTGACTTCAACTGTTGGAGACTTTGTCATACAGATAGTTCTTGATTTATGACCATAACTGAGCCAAAATTTCTGTTACTAAGCAAGACAGTTAAGTGAATTTTGCTCCATTTTACAATCTTTCTTGCCACAGTTTTTAAGTGAATCAATGCAGTTAATAATCCAGTTGTTAAGTGAATCTGGCTTCCCCATTGACTTTGCTTGTCAGAGGGTTGCAAAAGATGATCACATGACCTTGGTGCACTGTAACTGACACACATACATGCCAGTTGCCAAGCATCTGAATTTTGATCACGTGGCCATGGGAATGCTGCAATGGTTGTAAGTTTGAAAAATGGTAATAAGCCACTTTTTTGTCATAGTAGCTTCGGTCACTAAACAAATGGTTTACTCAGTTGTTTTGCCATTCAAAGCATCCATAACAAGGTCAACAACAGTCTGGCACTAACAACAGGCGCTCAGGACTAGATCTCTTACAGATCTGTTACAGCTCCAATAATATACTTTTTAATAACCTTGTTACTTCTATATGTGCTTGGTATTGCATAAGGTGTCATCTACTTAAGTAATTGGATGAGATGCAGTGGAACTTTACAGCCTCTATTGCAGTGTTTCTCAACCTTGACAAATTTAAGATGCATGGACCTCAGCTCCCAGAATTCTCAAGATTGAAAAATACTGTTCTACTGTCTCTTTCTCTCCTGCTGGCAAACTGTCATACTTCTTTTGAACCTTCTATGAAAATTTGTGTGCCTATCTGGCTTAGCAGATTTTTTGCCTTTCTCAAATTTCTTGTGATTTAAACGTCTCTTTAAAGATTTGTAAGAACACAGGAGAGAATGGAGGCCCCCTTATTCTTCTTATGAGATTAATGACCTATGTCATATACTGGGCTGTTATGGTTTATTTAACCATGGCTTGCGGAGTAAATTGTATTCTACTGTATTCACAAATTATAATTCCCAATAATGCTGGATCTTATAGTTGCATGGCCATTTTTATAATGGTACTATTATACTTTGTCGATCTTTGCCAAAATCGGTGATTAGCCATTACATGTTTAAACAGAGTTCCTCTCACCTGACCAAAGTTCATTAATATGATGGTGAAAAGACAGTCCACTAAAATTTCAGCATCTAGCTACAAGTCAGACATTGCTGAATGACAGTACTGATCATAAAGAACAAACGTGTTGCTAAGCAAACACATTAGTTTTTCTCAAAGGAATTAGAAATATATATTAAGCTATATATGCAGTTAAAGATGAAGCGGCATCTAGGAATGCTTTGGAAATAATAATGTACCATACAGAATGGATAGGGTGCGTACTGTATATGTACATGGCAGCTAACTATCCTATTGAGGCAGTGATAACTTAACAAAGCAAGCATAAGCATGCTGCTTTGTACAGGGACCTAATGCTAGGGAGCGACTATAGCACAATGAAAAATGCTTCAAATTTCCCTCATTTCAAATTTCAAACAGTCACCTCTGCTGAAACGGTCTGCTTAAACCACCCTGGAAATATGTTAAGCTGGGAAGAGCGTTTTTTGAACTTGGAACATTTCCAAAAGAGCTCATTGCAAACTATAGGTAGTTGTTATGACTATTTGTTCAGTTACTATTTAGTTACAGCAGCAGTGAATGGCACCCGAAGTTAGGACCGTTGCAGCCCCTTCAGTCACATGATCAAATTTTGGGCACTTGGCAGCCTATCCACATTTAAAATAGCAGGGGTGTTTTAGTTCCCCATATCTATCTCCCATCTGCCTATCCCCCTCCCATCTATGCCCTTTTGGCCCCCTCCTTTCTGCTTTCTTTCTGCTACTGCAGCTGACCAAGCATACCCAACCCCCTTTGCAGAGACAGCTGCTGCCAAACATGGCTTTCTTCCCCAGACATAAGAGGTTTTCTCTCTAGATGGCCTCATGTGGCCAGCAGCTACTTTATGAGTGGCCAGGCCAAACACTGACTGCAGCTTTGCAGCTGCCCCAGGCTGGGGCTAAGTTTTATGCTGTTAAGGGCTTCACGCTGCAAGTGCAATTCTGGAGCGTCTTTGCAGCCCCAGAGCTTTGGCACACCAGGAGCCCTTTTGCACAGAACTGTTGTGCCAGCTGAAGTTTCCAAGGGTGGCTGTAGCTTTGTGCTGCAGCTCAGGGGCTTCCTATAGCCCCAGAGTCGTGGCATGCCAAAAAGCCCCCGAGCTTGTGGTTCTGGAGCAGTTTGCCAACCTGCAAGGTAGTGTGCAGGGCAGCCAAAAGGGCAGAGATGGGAAGGAATAGGCAATTGGGAGTTGGGAGGCAGCCTGTACCTTAGTGAGGCTCATGACTACAGGAGGAGGGACCAAACCCAGAATGATTTGGATCAGGTGGTCATCAGCTAATAACAGGCCAAATTTGGTTAAAGACAGCATTGGGTAGTGCTGGGATTACTATTGCTAAGTGATGCAGTCATGTGGCACTGCTTTGCAACTGCATCACTTAGCAATGGAGCTTGGCAATGTATTCCCATCTCAATTGTGCTTGAAAGTTGAGAACTACCAGTAGACAGTCTGAATGTGAGTGATTTTGCACAGTATTCATTCAGGAAAAAGGAATCAAAGATTTTCAGTTTTTTTGTAACATTAGCTTCCGTGTGAAGGCAGAGGAACAATATAAGCTTTTGAATATTAAGGCACAGAATCAATACTTTGAGGGAACTTTGCTAATTTTCCATCCATGCCCTTCATCACCTAAATGTTGCCCAATATTGGATGTAACAAAAAGGAGAGTGTAAGTAATATTGGCAAGATTTGACATGTTTCAAGTTTGCATCAAAAGAGAACAAAGAAACTAATTTTGTCTTCCTTTGATAGTGCAAGATACGCAGTATTTTGTTTGCTGTGTTTCCTGTTTCTACTCGGGTCCAAATAATCATTTTTAAATTGGCTCTTCAATTTATTTTCCCTAGAGTGTTTGGCAAAGGAACTAAGTACTTCATAAGATTAGAAGAGCAAGCTGTAAAATGTATCCAGTATTTTTATTTTCATACTACAAGGGATTTGTACACATTACAATGTAGAAGTGGAAAATTGCTTATACGAGCTTCAGTGTTAAAGGAAAAGAGAAAAAACCCAGCTATGTGCACATTATACATCAACAGGCTAGTGTACAGTACAGATAATAAAAAGTTCTGCTTTTAGCATGGCTCAGCCTGTGACTTCAAATACACTCCCAATAATTCAACTATGGAAAATACTCTAAGCCATTTCCTCTTATCAGGGCCTATGACTATGTATAAGGCAGAGGCTTTTGCTTTTTGTATTAATTGAACATTAAGATTTCCTGTTTTCTCTCCATTTATACCGGAAATCAAAAGGCATTCCCTGAATGAAATTGAAAAAAGTCACTCAAACATGCTAAAGCTGCCTCTCACATGGTTTTCCAGATAGACATTAAATCTGGGAGAGATTTAATAGAGAGATGGCAAAACACTGGAAGCCAAAAGGAGTTCAAGAGCAGCAGATGCTTTGTCAGACAGGGAGACAATCTTTTCTCTCAGTTGATAGCGGCTGGTTCTGAATTCCCATTGGTCGAAGGTTCATCTTTCTTACTGTCCTCCAGCCTTGATCCACTTGTCACAGGATGATGTGTATTCTAATAGAGATAGATAATTGATCCTGTAATTTTCATAATGATAATACAAATTGCAATCATATTAATACATTAATCAACTAAAAAATAATTCAACCAGATATCAATGTTTTTTCTTTGTGGATGTTATGAAAATAAGAAAGATTCACAGATATGCAATCTGTTTGCAAAATTTGTCCATACTCTTAAGCAAGTCAACAAATAAAGCAGCTGAAAAGACATTTGAAGAGAAATTGCTTGTTTACCAACTGAAACACTGGCAATTCAAAGGCTTCCACCACCTGCTAGTTGCTAAGCCTCCCCATGCTACTATGCTGTGCTGTTTTTTTTTTTGGGGGGGGGGGGGAGGGAGGTAATGATCCTTTCCTCAAACTTTCCCCCAACCCATGCAGTGAGCAGATGGCTAATCCCCTTGACAAACAAAACTGGCTCCTTGTTTTCTTTATGGTCCACATGTGTATATGAAAAGGCTTGCTGGCTTTTTTTCAAGGAGGCCTTTATAGAATAGGCTGTTCTAACAGTAACACTTAACAACTACCAGTAGCTACTCATAAAACAAAAGAAGCCCACCAGAAGAAATCCTCCAAACCTAGGGCACAGTACCTGCACTGATCGCTCTTGTGGAGATTCTGGTGTAAGAGGTGTAATTTGTCTGGGAAAACCTCCTCCTCCTGCCGGTGTTGGAAATCCTTGTCGAATAGATTCTTCATCTGAGCAGACAATGATGGGAGCTTCGGCCATATTTTTGCTCAGTTGGTTCTCAAGGGCAGCAGAAGCATCAGCAAGCAGAGGAGAGGGGGGACACTGCATACCATCTCCAACAACGTCCAAATCCTATCGGAGAATAACAAAGAAGCCCACTTGGGGTTGGGGAAACATTGCGTGCCATTAGGTTTTTTTTTTCTCCCTCCCAATCAATTTTTGTATGTACATAACACATAGGGAGGCATAAAAATAAGCCTCACAACTTTTCAATTAAAAAGGATGAAATAATTTGATTTTTAAGCACCCTAAGCTTCATTTCATCTAGAATTTCTAAAATGATAAGACACTAATATGATGGAAGGAGGCTTCATTTGTAAGAAATGACAAATACCCTATTAATACAGCGGGTGCTAGTTCTAAACTTTGGATAAAGATACTGTCTAAATAATCCTATACAGGTAGTCCTTGACTTAAAACCATTCGTTCAGCAACTATTCAAAGTTACAACAGCACTGAAAAAAGTGACTTATGATCAGCTTTCACACTTATGATCATTGCAGCATCCCCATGGTCACGTGATCAAAATTTGGATGCTAGCCAACTAGCATGTGTTCACGACAGCTGCACTGTTCCAGGATCATGTGATCAGCTTCCATAACCTTCCCAGCCAGCTTTCAACAAGCAAAGTCAACGGGGGAACACAGATTTGCTTAACAATCGTACGATTCATTTAACTATTCCAGTGATTCCCTTAACTCCGGCAAAAAGGTTGCAAAATAGTGTAGATTTAACCACTTAACAATTGCCTTGTTTAGCAACAGAAATTTTGGGTTCTATTGTGACTGTAAATTAAGGACTACCAGGTAGGTTTGCTGGGTAGGCTTGCTGCCTTAAGAGGGTATGCCTCTGTTTCCCTATTTAAAAAAAAAGTGAGATGAAATTAAAAGGGGTATTTATAGATCCAGAGCAGCCAGTTTGTTGAGCAAGGCTTTCAAAGTACTTGGATGCCAGGTGCGTCTGCTGATTAGACAGCACTTTATAATGAAATGTATTTTAATTAAAAAAAGGTTCTCTAGAAGATTGCCTCAAAAAGACATGTGGCTTTTATGTAGGACAGGTATGTCAAACTCGCAACGTCACACGATGTCGCGTGATATATCGCGACTTTTCCCCCATTGCCAGCAATGGGGTGGACGCAGTTTCGGTGTGACGCATCCCGCCCGCAGCCCGGCAGTTTGACATGCCTGAACTAGGAAGATATTTTAAAATGATTGGGCAGATGATAAATGTCTTCCTATTAGGACTAATATGGAGCACTCTATTAAACTATAGGCAGTCCTCGACTTACAACAGTTCATTCAGTGACTGAAGCATTGAACAGAACTGAAAAAAGTGACTCATGACCGTTTATCACACAACTGTTGCAGCATTCCCATGGGCACATGATCAAAATTCAGAAGTGTGGCAAGACTCATATTTATAATAATTGCAGTGTCCCAGGTTCATGTGATCACTTTCTGCTACTTACTGACAAAGTCAATGGGAAGCCAGATTTACAACCATGTACTTACTAACTGAATAAGGGAAGTGATTCACTTAACAACTATGGCAAGAAAGGTCATAAAATGGGGCAAAATTCACTTAACAATTGTGTCGCTTGGCAACATAATTTTTTGGGCTCAATTGTGGTAAGTCGGGGATTACCTGTAATAAAAATGCACTCTTTGTGGATAGAGTAGAAAAAGGTTTTAAGAATTCCAAGATACGGATTTTAATACTCTCATTTTTCGAAGATATTCTAAAATACCCAGTGCAAACTCTCAAACCCTCTTCAGCCCTTCCCAACTGAATACCATTACAAGTCAAATCACTTTAAAGAATTATAAAGGGGATAGGAAATGTGATACAGTAGTAAGTGGCCTACCCATTATTGTACGGTATCATTAGAAACATTAACTTTCACTGCCTATGGGAAATCACTAAGAACTGAACCAGATATTCAGAAAAGCCGTGTTACACACTGAGAATGTAGTCTTCTTTTCCTGTTGTTGTTTTACACACTGAATAGACAAATGACAATTTCATTCTGTAGCTCTGATTGTCTTACTTTTCTTAATTGTTTACATCTCTTTTGCTTTCAGTCTCTCTTATATCATTAAGTTTTATATAAATGTGTATTCACATTTTCTCTATATCCCTTGGTATATAGCCTCATGCCCAAAACCCTCTGCAGTGCCTCATAAAGATACTTACATCACTGAACTCCAGTGGCAAACTCTCCGTGGGACGGAGTTCAGCTGCACTCAAGTAGAGATCCGTGGAAGCGGTTTCCAGTTCTTCAGGAACACACAGTACCTGTTCAGGAACATACATCTGAGGTGGTAGCTGTAGATGGAGTGGGCAGCAGGGATTTTCAGAAAGGTTTACAGGCACTGGTTTGCTGCAGGGTGCTTCTTCTGACCCTTGGCACAATTTAAATAGGAGCTGATTGGTGTCCTGGCAAATATCTGAAGATGGAGTCAAGGAAATTTGGTAAAATTTGCAATACACAGTAGGTATAAAAAGCAGACCTTTAAGCCAGTCATCCGACCTTGGAAACGTACTATATATAAGAGCGATGGCGAACCTTTTAGAGACTGAGTGCCCAAACTGCAACCCAAACCCCATTTATGCATCAAGTGCCGGCTGGGTGTGGCCCATTGGCTGGGTGTGGCCCATTGGCTGGGCATGGGTGCGGTGGTAACAGCAGATTGGGTGGGACTAAAAAGTTCAATCAATCAATTCCAACTTTGCAAGTTCTTTTTTTTCCCCGCGAGAAGTTGAAATTGATTGACTGAACTTTTTTTTTTTTTTTTTTGCACATGGCAGCGGAGGCCTAAAGCGAAAAGATTTTATAAAACCCAGCTGAAGGCCTAGGACTGGGGCGATGGCGCGCATGCCTACAGAGAGAGCTCTGAGTGCCGCCTCTGGCATCCGTGCCATAGGTTTCCCACCACTGATATATAAACTAGGGAAATAAAGGGGAACTTTAACACTTTTTTCCTTGGAGAATCTTGTGAGAGAAAATATTGGAGTTAAATATGAGCTCTGTATACCTTAGTATAATCTGGTAACCAATAATAAAAATCAACTTTTGATTTAGAACTGGAGTACTGTTCTATACTAATGGACTGATTCTGTTCTCTAGCTTCAAAATAAAAATAGGTGTCTAAACTGCACAAACATGCTGAATTTTTAGTATCAACATTTATATATGAATAAGTAACTGAAAATGTAATTTCCTGCAAAAAATAAATAAATTTACAATAGAATTTAGCTTAGTCCACAAGCTTCCGACTAGAACAAGTGAATTCTAAATATTACTTTTTGCTGGCTTAAAAGTTAACATTATGCCTTTTCATATACATTCACACATGGGACTGAAGTGATCCAAACAATTTGGTTTTATTTCAGGCTCTGGCTTAACTGTAATTTAGTGAGGTTTTATTGTTGCTTCCCACTGAATTGACTGTTCCAGTTTAAGTCTGAAGCTATGGAACAGTCAACAGACCATAGAAAGTCACTTCTTTGGGCTCCTGCTTGAAACCAGAGGCTACAAGAAGCCACCAGCCTTGATTCAGGGCCAAGAAAAGCACAAAAGCATTAAACTGAATGGCGAGAAATCTTTGGGCCATATTGGGACATAAACTGAGTTTTGATAATACTCATGAATATCTTACACTTTGAGCAAAAAAAAAATCTACTTTAAGAATTGGTGGAAAATCATTTTACTGATGAGTTTGGTGGAAGCTGGGATTATGCCTTTAGATCATTTACAGTGGTACCTTGATATTTGTCTGATATTCGTTCCGGGAGGCGCAACAAGTACTAAAAATGAATACCAAGCAAGCCACATGACTTACCTTGACCCTTTATTTCAATCGAAAGGAGTAGGGAGTCACGAATCAGCTGATGCCAGCAAGTTTTACCTTGTACATCGAGTAGCTGGAGAAAGATGAGTACCAGGACAAGATTTTTGCTTCAAAATGCATTGAGTACCGAATTCAATTAATTTTTAAACAATCGAATACAGTACTGTGGTATCTCTGTATTATATAATGACAATTTTAAGGTTTTTCCCAACTTAAATTTGATCTTCCCTATTGGCAACATTGGAAATATCTTCAGCTTAAAGATGTTCTAATAGGTCAATATGAACCAGATGCTTTGGCTGCCTCACGGTCATCTGAGTTGCTTTATTGCCTGACAGAATCCATTACAGAAATAAAGCCTATAATATATCTTTATCAGAATATTTTTAAAGTGAACATTTCTGGGACAATTCAAACATGGACTAAAGAACTGGAAATTCCCAAAAAGCCACAGTAGCGACTTGAAGTCCCTAAAATGTTAAAATGGTATACTGAACAGAGATTTTGAGATTAAGACTGAGTCATCAAGAAATTGCATGTAGAATGCACTAAACTCCTCAAAGAATGTATTTTTTTATGCTGGAGGTCTAAGAAATGTGAAATGGTCATATGATCATTTAGTAACTTTTTGGGGTAATATATTAATGTATAGTAGACTTATGGGAACATTTTTAAATCTTACATTTAAATGTTAAATATATTAATGTTATATTGTTATTATTTACCAAATTTATATAGCTGCCCATTTGACACTGGGCAATTTAAAAACATCATACCAATTAAAACCATATAACAATTCAAGAAACATTAAATATAAATAAAAATAAATATTAAAGACATGAAAATCCAAGAGAGTGGGAGAACAGTCACTTAGCCTAATATAGCCACTTGCAGGTTTACTATGGGATTCTCAGCGTTGATGGAAGAACTACATTTGGGTTTTCCAAAAGGCTAGCAAAGATGGGGCTAATTTGAACACAGGAGGAATGAAGTTCCAAAGAATGATGGGGGGAGAGGGGGGACAGCAAAGGCATGTTTCCTGATTCTCACCAGATGGAACTCCTTAAGAGAAGGAACCCAGAACATACCCGTTCTGCTTGACCTGATGGGATGGGTAAATGTAACCAGGAAAAGATGGCCCTCAAAAAGCCCGGTCCCATGCCATATAGAAATTTCAAGATCAAAACCAGCACCTTGAATTGCATCAAGCAAACTGACAGCCAACGTAGCTCATGGAACAGAAGAGCAACGTGTGCCATCCTAGAGATATACACTAACATGTTACAAGTCACTTGTAAAATGGTCGGCTATATAAATTTGATTACTAAACACATAAATAACTGTCCACACAGCCACATTCTGCACCAGGTGAAGCTCCTGGATGTTCTTCAAGACCAGCCCCAATGTACAGCACATTGCAATGATCTATTCTGGAGGTTACCAGGGCATGAGTGACAATGAGTGCAGCCTCATGGTCCAGGAAGGGGCACAGTTGGTGCACATGAAACTGTACAAAGGTTCTCCTAGCCATGGCTGTCCTCTGCTCCTTGAGCAGAGCCAAGAGTCTAGCAGGATCCCCAGGTTGTGCAGTGGGTCTCTCTGGGGTAATAAAACCCCATCCAGTACCAAAGATCACATATCAAAGCTTTAGAATTTGACTGTTTATCAGGAATTGAGTTTGTATCGAACCTGGCAAAAAGAACGATATTAAGAAATATTCCAAACACCAAAGGAATGGTTGTCATAAATGTGTGATCTATCTGTTTTGGAAAAGATATTTTCTACCAATCAAAGGATGCAGCAATATGTGTTACTATGGCAGAAATTCTGTAATCAGAATAGATACTATTTTAAGATGTCTTGTATCTTAGTAAATACATTGGTAAATCAGTGACTATTCATAAATATAAAATGATTTTTTTCCTCTTAATTTGTACTTTTAATTTTTTAAATGTTCTATTTTTAAGATTAAAGATTATTTTGTTAAAAAAATTAAGATACTAAGTTTAAAAAACTCAGAGATGTTTAATTGGTCTAATTGTGGCAAGTATTAATACTAACACCGGAGAGAAAAAGGATACGAATAAGGCAATGTCTTGTCATTGGGAGAGACTGGTTGGAACATCGAACATCTTCTACAAAGGCCAAACACCTCTGGCTAGAACGGGTAGTGTGTGCCTGGAGGATACAAACCAAACACAAGACAATCTTTTAGAGAAGCCACTCTTTTAATATGAATTATTTCAGTCATACATCAGCTTCTGAAATATACACATCAACTGCTTAGGTGTTTTCATAATCACACAACAGACTGAATTTATTAATAGCATAAAAAGCATGCTAAAAAGTGCCTCATCATGAAGGAATGTTACTCTTCCCAAATTGATGTTACCTTGAAAACACTTGGTTTTGAATTCTGCACCGTGGCACGGAGCTTGCACATACAGTATCTGGAAATCAGAGTTACTTTCATTTTTATAGTTTGCTTTCATAAAACAATCAGGCACGCACTTTCTACCACCACTGGACCAAACAGAGAAGCAAGTAACTCAATTACCTGCTGGCCAGCACCCTCTGTAGCAAGCATTCTGCGTTCCTTCAGCTGCCGATGTAAAAGAGCCTCCACACCATAGCGTTGTCGGTAACGCCTCAAATATTTCAACCGCTTCAAGTTTTCACGTTCTTTAGACAGAAGACCTTCCGGGCCTGTCAGGAGACTGCTACCTGGAAGACATTAACAGTGCATCCTCAATGTAGAGTTAAAGTATTATACCTTTCTACTACAGAGCAAAAGAGTTCTTCTGGGAGTTTACCCTTTCTGCTTTGGGAAAGAAACTGCTTTAGCTCAATTCTTACAGATTTGATTGTTGCTTCAGAGAAGAAATACAAAACGATCACCGTAATTCTACTGCAGGGATGAGCAACCTGAAGCTTTCCTTCACCCCACTTTGTATTGTTGTATTTCAATAGTGTGATTTTCAGTTTTAGGTTTCCTACTTCCACTACGCACTCTCTCCACCCCTACCCCTCTCAACCTTAAGGCCTAAAATAGCTCCTTTGGGATCTAACGCTAGCCCATTTGGAAAGAATTTTAAGGTTGGGAATTGGTCAGATTGGAAGGCCGTCTTGCGTCCCCCAACCCTTGAAATGCTGCCCATCGCTGTTCTGCAAAAACACGATGTATGTAAGGTTCTACTACTCTGAGGATAAATGTAGCGCTTCACGAGATTTTAAAAAGGTAAAAAGAACCAAGCTGCAATCTAGCGGAAAAACCATCTTCCAGCACTACGGTCATGGAAAACTTTTGGAGTGATGTTTTCAGAACACGTATTTCAAAAACTCTATTCTGTAACATATATAAAAGCACTTTGTTAGAACTAATTAAAATAACTTTTGAAACAATTAAATATTTCCTTAGCTAGTCTCATAGGATAATTGACTGGTTATATTTATGCAAGCGCTTTCTCTTCCAAAATTCATGAAATAATGACGTTTTTATTAATTACAGGACCCAAATAGTATCTTAATGATTACAACAGATCTCTGAATTCAGACAAGTGGTATATGAAGCTCTCTTTCACTCGTGGCTACAATGCAGTTCTATTTTTAGGAACAGATGATGCTCAAATCCTGAAGAGTTCTAATTAATCTGAACATTACTCTTAACAAGTACCACTTCAAGTAAATATTAACAGGCAAGAAAAATCAAGACATATCTACAAAAAAGTAGTCCCCAAGCTCTAAGCTCTTGGTAAAATGGCTGCTCTAATTAATTTCACACCAGATTTTGTGATGTCTTCAGCTTATGTTCAGAGTTGTAGCCATTTACCTATGGCTTCATGTTCCACCTTCCGGCTGTGCAAATACCGGCGCTTCTTCTCTTTCAGAAGGTGCTGAAGCCGTTTGAACTGATCAATATACAGAGACTGTAGCCGGATCAGTTTTTCTCGCATGATCAGTGCCACCTCCTCAGCCGTATACACACCAGCATGTCTGCACAAACAGGATCCAATCACAACTCATCCTCTCTAATCATTAACATGGAGAATCACCTAAAGCAGTGTCAGGTAACAAAAGTAAGCTATTTAAAAGCAAAGAAATCAATCAGCAAGACCTGTGACCTTCAACAGGGAATATTTAATGCAAAACATTTTGAAACCAAAATGCTAACTTGAAGAAGTTCAACACAATATCTCCTGGAGTTCCCTCAAGAGCTTAGGAGGCTACACCTCTACAGCTTAAAGTTACTGTCCTAAGTACAAATCACTATCTGAAATATTTTCATACACTTTAAAGGATGAGAAAATATGAGATGACAGCCTTCAAAAATGCATTCTACCAGGCTTACTCTCAACAACTGTTTATAATTTTTAGTTAATGTAAAATGTGGTTGATACATTACCCAGTTGCATTTTAGTTGCACACCAGAACATATGGCAAATTACATATGCGGAATAACTCCACAAGACACATAGAAATATTTTAAACTTTATTGGGGCCAAAAACAAAGTCATAAATGAAGAAGTTATGGACTAATATACATTTCATAAGTGACCCAGAAAACAGGGACAGGCCAAACAAAACATTTAGATGTAGATTAATGGTCAACATTAATTTGCTTTTATTGGTAATGGTAAACATATTCAAAATATGCATTTATGAGTACAGGTTGGTTTTTTATGGACAAAGTAGGACTGACGAAACTTAGGTCCTCTACATGCCATTAACCACAACTTTCAACCATCAGTCAGTAAGTCAAATGATAGGGGATACTGCACTTCGTAGTTTAAGAACATTTGAACGCCCAGAAGCTTCCCATCTATATACCCCATCATCAATTATTCAGGTGCTACTAAAAAGAGAACTAGTCAAGACTGATGCTGGGAAGAATGACCCAAATTGTTCTGGGGGAGCAAGGATCATGCTAAAGAAAGAACTTTGTCTTTGAAAGCTCATATTCAATAGATGCTCAAATAATTTTTTGGGAAATGAACTTCCATCTCTACTGCACAACTCTGTAGCCGTAGTTCACACCTTACTCAAGACACTTACTTTAAAGGATCTTCTTGGTCACTATCAATGCTATCTGCTTCACTATCAGGATCACCTCTCCATGTCTGATCCACAGTAAGAGGCTCCTGCTCGCCATCACTCCAGCTGTCTTCATCTGGAAAAACAAAAGAGAAGAAAAATATGTTGATAGTCTACATTCTTTAGTAAAATTAGTGTAAAGTCATCAGTATAAACTAAAACAGAGCTACTGGAGTGGAAGTCTCATATGAACATGCACTTCTATAAGTTGATATAAGCACGTCCATCAATCAGAACAAAAGAATATCCATAAAATACTAATTTAATTTTAAACTCTGCATTAAAACTAATCACTAGAGCATCATTGGAAAACCTCACTTTTCTATTTACCACTGAGCCTAAATGTCAGACCAATACATCTATAATTTAACCTTGATTTGGTAAGGAAATAATCCTAGTACCATCACCAACATATTTATTTGGTCAGCTTATTTGGCAGAAAGAATAGATTCTTATACGGTTGAGGTTTTTTAAAGTATAAACAACAAAGACAGTTAACAAATTCCAAATCACCTCCACATGTAATTTTTAACTATCCAGCAATTAGTATATGCTGTATCCATTATCAACTTAATATTTTAAATTTCTTCCATTCTTCATCCAACTACCTTCAGGGACGTAACAGCAAATTCTTTTTAGAAAACTGAGATGGCTAGTTGCAGAGAGCTCTCAAATTAAGACTGAGATCTCTGTAAAAACAAACCAAAGCAAGGGATGTCATTCTCTGATACAGGACATTCCCAATGTTCATATTACTCTGCAAATGGTCCATATAATTTATAGCATTCATCAGTAAACGTTAAATGTAACTTCCAGAGCAATAAATTAAACAGTGTAAACAAAACAGAATATGTATATTCTATGACTTCTGAATGCAGAGTCAATGCCCCTTGCTAAAATATAAATTTGTGACTTCCCAGGATATTTAAGCTGAACCTATTATTAAAAAACAGTAAAGGGAAATAAGCCCATGTAGTTAAAAGCATTTTAACCTAGTACTGGGTGAAACTGGACCTTTCTCCGTGGAACTTGTTCCTGGTGGCCAAAAGGTTGGGGATCTCTGTTTTAAACTATATATTGAAAGAGGGTTGTTAGAATATAACCAAGCTACATAAAATTCAACCTTTGCATCTAATTTTAAAAGAATAAAAAATACCCAAGATAACATTATCATCTCTTCTGCTTACCCAATATCCTGCTGCCCTCACTACGGTTATTTTCTACAGTTTGAGAGCCCTGCTCCGTCTTCGCATAGGAACTCAGCTGACAGAGAAGAGACTCTCTCACAGGGCTAGGATTAGACTTCTTCATCTGAGCCTGCAAGGCCAACACATTTCTGCGGGCATGTTCAGCACAGAATGACACACTAGGTAGAGAGGCGAAACAACAGGTTATGCATTGTAATTTCCAAAATATCTAACAAAGAAACACCTGGCTTCTATACTGTTTAAAGCAACATGTAGGAATCAATAAAGTGAATATACCTGGAAGTTGCTCAGTTTGAGTGACGTTGGCCTAATCACTCCTGCTGACATGTTCATCTCAATCCTAATTTATTTGCTTCCTTCTCCTACAAGGCTAGACTGCCTTTACCTCAGTCTCATCTGTTTTCTTCACCTTGATGAAATCAATCTAAGTTCTTCCCAAATCACTTATAGCAGATTCCCTACCACCCATTTCCTTTTAATAGAAGATTTTTACATTAAAGTACACAGTCTTTATACTATGGTGTAGTACTATTGCAACAGTAGTACTATTATACTCTCATAGTAGTACTAGTATTTATTGCTAGTCCTTGATTTATGACCATTTGAAGTTACAAGGCTCTCCCTGGGGTACTTACATCCCAGTTCCGAAGTTCTGACAGCCGAGGCCCCCCACGGTCACATGAACATTTATGGCTGATTGTAGCATTCCAGTCACATGACCATGTTTTACATCACTTTTGTCAAAACCATTTATTTCAGGTTTTTGGCAAAACTGGCCACAGCAAACCACTGATTCACAGTACTTGCTTAACAACTGCTACAAAAAGGTCATAAAATTGGGCCAGTCATATTGGTTACCCAATTTACAGTTCTCACAACTTAGGACTATGATGGGGAAAACCTTTTCTTTCCTTTGGGGGTAGGGAGACGTCTGGTACAGCCATCTGCTAATCTTAGTTCCTAACTCCAAGTCTGCAGGTGTTCTCAAGGCTTTCATGAGAACTGATGGAATTTCAGTGGAAGCCACCACTTCGTTCTAAAGCAGGGGTCCCCAACCCCCAGGCTGCGGCCTGTTTGAAGCCGGGCTGCATAAACAATGGGCAAGTGCACGCGAGAAGCTCCACTTGTGCAAGTCCGGCAGGCAAGTGCACACACACAAAGTTCCACTCGCACGAGCAGAGGGTGCAAAACTCCATTCTCAAGAATGGAGCTTTGCACGGAAGCACCCTCCATTCACAGGACTGGAGCTGCGCGTGTGAACACAAGTGCCCTCCGCTCATATGTGAAGCTCCATTCGCGCAAGTGGAGAGTGGGTGTGCCAATTGCTCACATCAATGGAGCTGTGCACATGCTCCTCCCACTCACCCTCCCCCCGCCGGGCCACCAAGGTGGAAAGGTTGATGACCACTGTTCTAAAGCATTTAACATCCTTTAAAGTTGTCAGCAAGCAAAACTTAAGTCTTTTTCCTTGTAGGCCAAAGGCAAGGATTCCATAATGAGACTAGTGCATTGGGAGTTCAAATTTAAACAAAACACTCATAAGAGTGTGTGAATTATGATTAAACACTGAAGCAGGCAATTCTGATGTTGCCCTTAAGCATTTGGGAAAAAAGGAACCAAAATGAAGGGAACCACTATATGGTACAAATTAGAAAAGGAACAATAAAAAATTGCTAAACGTAATTCCTCCAAAACAAAAAATATATACTTTCTTCTTATAAGTCGCCTTCCCTAACTGGATGCCCTTTAAATGTCTTGGGTCTATATTTCCATAATGATCCCAATACATCTAAAGGTCTTCAGTTTGGATTATTAACACGCTCTAGTTCTCAAAAAACACACATTATACTTAAAGGTCTGTATATTGAAGTCTTCAGTCCTAGTCTCTTCTAAGAAAGCTGTAAACTTAGAAATCTATACAGTACTTTCATATTCAATGTGTGCTACTTGAACTTAAGATGTTTGTGGCTTTCCAGACACTATTGACTGAGATTCCCATTTTTCTTCACCAATGGTCAACACAAGTGTGCACTGACAAGAACCAGATTTCAACAATGTCTGAGAATCACATACACCCCTATGATAAACATTTATCAAGCAGATATCTACATTCCACCAACAGGACCTTGTTCATGCAGTTGTTACATGACCCAAGAACCCATTCCATTATTGCTAACATTGGATTAGACTAGTAAAACTTCTAAATGAGCAAGTTTCAAACAAATGGTGATTTAATGAAATTTTTTAACCATTACTTAAAATGGAAATATATGTTTCTGGTGTATTCCTCATGATTGTGGAGAGAGTAAAGGGTAAAGGAGAATGCACAAACAAAGGCTTATGACTCGGAATTTAAAGCTAAACAAATTTCAGACACAGCCAGAAATTGGGATCTCTCCATTTTTTCCCAAAGAATCCCAATTTGCTGTGAAATAAGTGAAACTGGCGTAAGTAAATGACATCCATCATTCTAGTTTATTCCATAATCCAGAACACATGCTTTGCTTTAATTCACAGCCATGGAACAAACAAAATTCCAGAGTTTTTTCGGCCGAACCTACCAAACTTGATTGTTGTTGGCAAAAATAGAATTTTATATGCTGCTTTAAATTTCTGTACAAAACACAGGATATAAATTTAACTTAATAATTTATATAAATGGTCTGTATCTTTCCTAATTATTATTTCATCTAGGCGGACGATGGCTCTCATAGTTAGTATACTGGGTTGGAGGTTAGCAAGCCCATGTTCAAAACCTGAGTGCTATGTGGTGCTATTGGCTGGGGTGAGTTCTCTCTTCGTCCTTTGCTCCAGCCAGGAATGTGAAAGGAGCCTCCAACTGGGCGTCCCTCAGGCAACTGTGATGTCACCAGTTAATCCTTTCAACTCGGAAGTGCCTTGGTGTTTGTTCCCACACAAGTGCAAAAATTTCATCTAAGTCTATATAATTGTATTGTAAACAATGCTTTAGGACAGCATTTAGATTTTTCTAACAACATTTTAAAGAATGTCAATTTAACTGTCAACCTTTCAAGTTGAGCCATGTCAAGAAACAGACATCTCAAGATTGAGTGATTGACTTGGCTATACTAAGAGAATTTTGAAACCTTAATCATATTTTTCCTTTCTTCCTTCTTGTAGCCAGCGAGTGAAAGCAGTCAGTTTAAATTCTTTTGTAATTTTTTAAATTTCTAATCTATTTTTAATCTCAATGCTAGTTTTGTAACTTTCACTGCATTTCTCAAAGATCTCTGTACAGTAGTTCTACACACCAATCCAAAGGCTTTGAAAAACAAAGATTCTAAATGTTTAATAATTTAGAACTTGGATAGAAATATTTCTTTAGGAATAACTCTAGTTTATTTAAATGTGCTATGTTGTATACTATTCATTTTAATCAGTTAACCATTAAATTTGTACCAATCTTTAAGCCTGTGATTAGCACTGAGCTAAGTCTACAAGACAAACTTGACTTTGGATGTTTTGGGAGGAAGTGTGTGCAACTGTCCAACCACCTCAAAATTATACACAGGTATGTGACAACTTATTTTTAAGCAACAGATGCTCTGGAATTATTTAAAAACTCTAAAATAATGAAAATGTTCTTTAGAACAGAGGTCTCCAATCCCTGGACCATGACCCATTTGGAACTGGGCTGTGCAAACACGTAAAGCGAGCTTGTCTGCTGCTTGTGCAGAACCATCCCTGCTCTCCTCCGCCCCCCCTGCTGCAAAGCTTGAGGATCCCTGCTTTAGAACAAAGAAAGCTGCCTCATGTGAAATACAGATATTGCTCATCTATTTAGGTACCATATTTCCTGACTGGCATTGTTTTTCAAGAGCATTCCCTACCTTCATCCTTCCTCAAATTTCCTTGGAGATACCAGATTGAACCTGAAATCTTTTTGTATATGTTAGCATGCAACTCTTTTCGGTTAATGTTCTGCAAAAAAAAATATACCTGCGAACACAATACAAATGGTTTGCATCCAGTCTTGACACAGGATGATATAACTGCATGAATGTAACTTTTAAGATATTCCACAATTATTCTACGCATACGGTACTCTATTATTTTCATTAGACCTAGAATATAAAAAGTGGCTTGATCTGCTTCAAAGGCTGAGGAAGAGAGAAGACAAAATTTCAGCTCATCTCTAGAGATAATGTGAACATACAGAATGCATACCCATCTTTCTTCTCTGGCTTGGGAGCTGCATTTGGGCACCTCCTGCCATTCTTAGTGGAAATATAGCTGCACTGCTTGAAGGGTGCATTCCTGTCTTCGAGGATATGCTTAATGCAGAACTCGAGTCCTTCCAAACGAGGCTGAGAGCATGGACGGTGAGCAAAGGCACAGGACAAGGTTTCTTGCGGCCTTGGCACAGGAGTGAGCTGCCCCCGACTCGAAGGCAAAACATGAATGCGAATTCTATTCATGCCAGTGCCTGTAAGGAACATGTTACTACAGATTTGACATAAGTAAAAAAAAAAAAAAAGTCACTTCTGCTACTATAAAATCCCTTTGTTCTCCCCCAAGGTTATTTCATTTTCCTTCTGACTATCAAGCTTTCAGCTTGATCAATCTTGAATCACGCCAGATTCTATATTTCAGACTTATACAGCTACCGGCAATCCTAAACAATTCACACTACCCCGACCAGAACCCGAAAAGGCAAGAAATGTAAATAGACTCTTGCGACCTTTCTTCTTCTCCTGTCCCAGTTCCTCAACTGGCTAGGCATTTCCTTGTTCCCTTCCCCCCCCCCATTTAAACCCCCCCTCCTCCCTTTTTAACCGCTTAAGCAGCTGCGGCTCCTTGTAACTAAATACCAGACCGAAGATCTTTATACAATGTCGAGGATCGTGGAATGCTGGGGGGAAACGATGGAGAGTCTTCCTAATACTATCGTATTAAAGTTCATACAAAACATGTTCCCTCTTTACCCTAAAAGGGATTAAAAGTCCCTCCTCCGCCGCTGCCGCCGCCTTCTGTTCTTTGCGCTTTGAGAGCTTCGCTTGATTCAGACACGCGGGGGCGAAGCCTTCCCCAATCCGAACGAGAAGGCACTCCGGTCCCTCGGCCATATACCATTCCCCCACGCCTACTGCCTTTTTTTTCCGCGGAGCCGGAGGAAAAGCCAGGTTTGGGGGGGGGGGGAGAAGAGAAATAAAAAAAGCCCCAAATCCGCTCTCACTTTTTTTTTTTGCTCAGCGCAGCAACATCCGCCATCTTACCTTCCTCCTCGCGCTCTGCCTCTCATCAGGGCCTCGAGCTCGCTATCGCCAGCCAATCCGGAGATGACGTAGCCCACAACGGGATTGGGTAAAGGAAATGTCATTCGAGCCGGTGTGGGGGCGGAAGAAGGTGGTCAGAACTTGGTCTGGATTCCTCACTAGGAAAGCATTGGAGAGAGACCGAAGGCGTTAGGCTTTTAACGGGTTTTTTTTTTTTTTAATGATCCTGATTGAAACTATTTGACTGTTTTATGGCCTATTTTTTAATTTCATTATAGCAAGTTACTCTGAGGGTTAATATAGACAGTATTTTATATTAGACTTTATTAAATATGAAATAGACCAACTTTAAACAACTACGTTTGATATTCTACTCAAGCAGGACAGGATTTAAAGTGCAGGAAGCAAGGATTCCATCTCATGAAGCTGGAACTGCTGAAACACGTGTAAGATAAATTAATGGAATGTCCATGGCTTTTCCAGGACAAACTCAAACATTTCTTTTAAAAAAGGAACCTTTGTTTCTGTCACACCATTCTTAATATTGACAAGTTTATGGTGTTTAATTGAAATCTGCTTCCTATATTTTAAGCCCATTATTCCGTATTCTGTATGACATGATAATAGAGAATAGATTTTCCAAGTGTTCTTGTAAGGCTCCATCTTTATTTCCTTGCACCTCTTAAAGTCAGGTGGCATTCAGTTCCTTAAATTTTTCATTGCCTTTCAATTGTTTGTTACCATACTATCATCCCTTTTTAATCTTCAGCCAGTTGAGGCATATCAATATGAGATTAATGTGCCTGCATGCAAATAATACAAATAAATGTATCAATTCCTTCATTCCCTTTCACTTGTTACTCTATTTAAAACTGTAAATCAGTTTACAGACCTATCAGCCTGACATACCTGGGAAGATTCTGGAAAAGATAATCAAACAACGAATCAGCGAACCCCTAGAGGCAAACAAAATCACTAATAAAAGCCAACTTGGGTTTGTCAAAAACAGATCATGCCAGACAAATCTTATTACATTCTTTGACCAAGTGACAAAATTAGTGGATCAGAGGAATGCTGTGGATATAATTTACTTGGACTTCAGTAAGGCATTTGATAAAGTAGATCAAGATAGAAAAATGTGGGTTAGGCAGCATCACTACCAAATGGATCCGTAGCTGGCTGACCGGCTGTACTCAGCATGTGGTCCTCAATGGAACTGCCTCTACATGGAGGGAAGTGTGTAGTGGGGTGCCCCAGCGCTCTGTTCTGGGCCCAGTGCTCTTCAACATCTTCATCAACAATTTGGACGATGGGATAGATGGGGAACTCATCAAATTTGCGGATGACACCAAGCTGGCAGGAATAGCCAACACTCCAGAAGACAGGCTTAAGATACAGGAGGATCCGGACAGACTTGAACACTGGGCGCTATTAACAAAATGAAATTCAATGGTCAAAAAAGTAAGGTTCTACATTTAGGCAAGAAAAACCAAAGGTACAGGTATAGTATAGGGGGTACCTTGCTCAATAGTAGTAATTGTGAGAGGGATATGAGCCAGCAGTGTGCTGTAGCTGCCAAAAAAGCCAACACAGTGCTGGGCTGCATTAGCAGAGGGATAGAATCAAGATCACGTGAAGTATTAATACCACTTTACAATGCCTTGGTAAGGCCACACTTGGAATACTGCATCCGGTTTTGGTCAACACGATGTAAAAAAGATGTTGAGACTCTAGAAAGAGTACAGAGAAGAGCAACAAAGATGATTAGGGGACTGAAGGCTAAAACATATAAGGAACGGTTGCTGGAATTGGGTATATCTAATTTAATGAAAAGAAGGACGAGGGGGGACATGATAGCAGTGTTCCAATATCTCAGGGGCTGCCACAAAGAAGAGGGAGTCAAGCTATTCTCCAAAGCACCTGAAGGCAGGACAAGAAGCAACGGATGGAAACTAATCAAGGAGAGAAGCAATCTAGAACTAAGGAGAAACTCCTGACAGAACAATTAACCAGTGGAACAACCTGCCTCCAGAAGCGGTGAATGTTCCAACACTGGAAGTTTTTAAGAAGAAACTGGACAGCTATTTGTCCGAAATGGTGTAGGGTTTCCTGCCTGAACAGGAGGTTGAACCTGCAAAGTTCTTCAGCCAACTACTGTTGATATTTGGACTGTTATATGCCTAGCGTTGCCAGCATAACTTTAACTTGGTTAGTTTGGAGCTTCAGTAATTAAGATTTGCAATAGCTTTCTTCTTTAATTGTACAGGATTGAATGCTTAATTATTCCATCCTTCATTTTCTTTGAAGAATTTTGGCTGGATTCCTGAAGCCAGTTAGTTTTTTAAAACTTGGGAAACACATTTTTTCCAAAGTACCCTCTTTCTGAAGATATACTTTCTAATACAAAATATCCTTTTGACAATTTTTGCAAACCAGTGTTTTCCTTGTTAGTTCTGTGGGAAGTCAGCCCCCCAGAGAAGGAAATATTAAAAGGGCAGAAAAATATATTTCCTAAAAGGATCTTAAAGAGGCAGAAAAGCATGCCCAGTTTTTTCTTAATATCCCCAAGTGTCCCTCCCCCAAGCAGAAACCAGTTCTGTAGAAATGCAAATGTAAACCATTCAGGAAGGTTGAAGCTAGATTAAGAAGACAAAGACACTTAAAATCTATATACCCCATCCAGACTCTAAGTCAGGACATAATACGATTAACCCACAGATGCCAAAGGACACACTCAGACTCAGGTCAAAGTTCATGCCACAGGAACAACTCCAAACAAAAGGCTCCAGAAAGTATAAAAACCCACTCCCTACATGTGCTCACTCTCTTTTCTTCCAGAGCCATCTTTCTGTCTGCTCTCCCCTTCAATAAACTGCAACCTTCTTTTTAAAGCAGTCGCCATGTTGTTTATTCCCGGCTTGGACTGAACCATGATGAAGACTTTTCCTTCAACAGTTCCAAATATGCACTAATCAAAGCTACATAATGAACCATATGCAAGTAATGCTTAATTTATGATTTTGGTTAATGATGGTTCAAAGTTTCAAAATACCTCAGAAAAAGTAACTTCGAGCAAGTGACAACTGTCACACCACCCCAGCCAATTGCAATTTGGGCACTTAGTAACCAGCCCATATTTAGGAGGGTTACAACATCTTGCAGTCATGTGATTACAATTTGCAGCCTTCCCAGCTGAACTCCAACAAGCAAAGTTAATTGGGGAAGCTGGATTCGCATAATGACCTTGGTAAAAATGGTTGTAAAAGTGGATCCACTCACATGACTATTTAATGACTGTACTGCTGACTGACAATATTCCAGGTCCCAATTGTCATAAGCTGGGAATAACCTGTAATGCACATTACCATCCCAAAGTGGCATTATTCTGCATTAAAGATTGCAGATTATGTCTAGGTATTATCCTATCCTTTACATTGCTGACCTGTACAAATCTTGGTAGTTCTGTAACTATAAATTACAGTCTGAATTACCACAGTTCAGAAAAGTTTATGAAAACAATGAATTACGGCTATGCATTTTACAACTCAGGAGAGAACAAAGAACACCAGAAAATGATAAGCAGAATAAATTCAGTTACCTTGAAATCCAAGTTATACCATTAACTTTTGAAGTTAATGTATGGTATACAGGCTGTAGGCTTTCATGGCTGGTATCTGTTAGGCTTCAGGTTTTAGTGACCATAATTGAGAAAACAGATTTCCTAATATTTCACCAGCAATTGTAGCTAATATCTTCAAAGGCAGCGTTCTGCTATGCAAGCAAAGACAAGTCAGAACACTTGGCTAGAAAGACAGGAGCCCAGTCAGTCCCTGTTCAGTTGCCTGAAGTATGTGCAGCATTTTGCCTTGAAAATGTCAACCAAACACCAGGAAGGTTTGACAGAATTGGATGTATATTTTAAAGGCATGGATAATGCCTGCTGAAAATTCAAGGTAGGTAGAGAGGAACTTAAGTGCTTTGTAAAAGTCATTGTCCAGTCAAATTCCTTTAAAAAACCAGAATGCAGTTTTGGAAAGGGCCAGCCAGTATAACCAACATGGGAATTCCAAGAATGCAGATCAGAACATAAGACAGTGCCAGGCTAGGGAAACACTTTCTTTCCTTGCAGTCCTGTATGAGTTACATGGACTCTGCATTTTATTTTAGGACTAAACAGACAGTTGCTCAACTGCAAATGCAGAAAGTTGGTACTATTCTGCTGCTCCTTTTTCCTATTATTTGTGTGACTGAGAAAGCTCCCCTGACCTTTTTTTTCTGCATACACATAACCAGTGCTTTTTTTGTAAAGAAAAAAAAAGTGCCGAAACTCACATGACATACAACCCGCCTCGCCTACCCTACAAGGTTCCATCCAAAAAAGGTGCCGGAACTCCGTTCTGGGTGTTCTATGACAAAAAAAGCCCTGCACATAATTATGGTTTTAGAAGTCCATTATAAATTTGCATACTGTATTTATAACTGTAAATACTGTAGTTGATACATGCAGGTGTGTACCCATACAATATACAAACTATGGATTACTGAATGTGATGTTTCAGGCAAGCCTAAAAATGTCAGCTGATCAAAACAATAGCTTCTTTTTAAGCATAAGGAGCAAGAGATGATTTAGACCAGGGATCCCAACCCTCAGTCCATGGATCAGTACCAGGCTGTGGCATACCAGCAACCGGTCCGCAGAAACAAGCAAAGCCCCATCTGTGGGATGCAGGCAGCACACAAAACCACGCATCCTCTGGTCCGCAGAAAAAACTCTCTCCACAGAACCGGTCCCTGGTGCCCAAAAGGTTGGGGACCTCTGATTTAGACAGTTCAGCATACATTACTCTTATGAAACTGCCACATTCATTTCCATGGATAACCCAGGAACTTCTAGTAATCACAGTAAATGAAGGATTATTGTTGCAACAGCAAGATAATAACCTGCAGTTTTCAACTGACAAATTATGATCTAAAATCTGAAAATACGAATATTTGACAGTCTACTAAATGTGGTCTGTTTTTTATCATGCCACAAAGTTATTTTTCCTTTCCTACTTGTCTCTTTGCTTTCTGTTGTTCATATCCATTGTGCTGTTTTTAAATTGTAATTGCTATTGTTTGCTTTTATATCTCAGTGTAAATAAAGAACTAGGAAATAAACGAGAGAGATTTATAGATGCAGAATACTGCTGTTACCATCCCAAATATTTTTGTATAGACTTTTCCTAATTCAAATATTAGCAAGAAATTTCACAAGGAACAAACTAAATGCGGAGACAGTACATTTATTGAAACGTGGAATAGTAATAAAATGAGCCAGGAGTTAGAAAGTTTCTGAAACATTACACAAAACTAGGCCAAAGTTTGCATCA